GGAACAGAATGAGTATTAGATTAGAGGTTGGCATGCATATGGTTGGTTTAAAATTATTATATGTGACAATCTTAGAGTTGGCCCCTCTATCTAAGCATGCTTGGTGGGTAATTAAGCATAGCTTCATTGCATATATTTATGTTGGCACACATTTAGTTTAATTGAAAGCAATAGAGCAACTACTTTTCCATGTGAAAAGACTTCAATACTTTATAGTAGTGTAGTACTTTGGGGACATTTTTCCCATTTTAAAGGCACACTTGTTAGTTTAGCCAAAAACAATTAACTCTTCAGTTGACTGGCTGAAAGAAATAGGGCAGGAAAATTTACGAAAAGTGCTTTTTCATTGGGTCGGTCTTACTGTCTATTAACGGTCGAATACATTAATTGCCCTCTAAATCTGTGCATGAAAGTCTTGTGGCCCCCTATATTTTAGAAATGATATTGTCCCCCCTTAAACTTGTTTTTTTTTAATTTATGCATGCCCGGCCACGTCAGAAAAGGGATGTGAAATACACGCCTGAAAATGAGCGAGTTAGTCACATAGCATCTTACATGGTAACCTATTGCTTTTCTTCAACCCCAAATACCCATCTCCTTCAAAACTTCAAAAGTTCATTTTGAATAACAATAATGGCACCACCAAACTCAAAACCTGTACCAAGAAAAGGCAAAATCCTAAAAAATCTACTGGTATCTCAAAATCCAACAATAACAATTCAAGAGATGCTAGTTCTAGCAACATGGAAAGTAAACATATCATTTTAATTCAAGAAGAAATGGAAAAAAGAGATAATTGTGAAGTTTTTTCATCAAAATGGGACTCACTTGGACGAAGAGATCTAGAAAAGAGCTTGGTGAAATGGATAAGCCAATGAATGAGAGCAATAACTATGGATCTTGTTGCGACAAAGACGAAAAGGGAGTTCTTCGAACTCCTACAAAGAGGCTGGCTTGACGTTTGTTATACAAGCGTAGCCTTGTATTAATGTTGTTGATATTTCGAAAACGGAACAAACAAAAAATCGAAAATGAAACAAACACAAAATCAAAAGTAGAGTAGGATTAGATTTTGCAAGGCAGAGCTTTCTGCATTCTTTTTTAAATTTTAAGAAAAAGAAAATAAAAAGAGAGAGAACAAGTTTTAAGAAGAAGAAAACAAAAAGAAAGAGAATGGGAAATCAAACCAGGTGAGATGGCATCCACCATGGCAGCCTAATTGCCAATTGTCTTGCCACTAGTCCATGTTGTTGCGTAAGTTATTCACTCGATGATTTGGCTCTCGACAGGCGTGCATAAATTAAAAAAAAAAATAAATTTAGAGGGTCACAAGGCCATTTCTAAAATATAAGGGGCTACAAGATGTTTATGCGCAAGTTCAAAGGGTAATTGATGTATTCGGCTGTCCATTAATTCATGTTTAAGGTCAAGAATCATACCATCAAGAATGTTTTTTTTTCGTTATATTCTCTTTATTTTTTAATATTTGTCATTTTAGGGTAAAGATATTAAAAAAAAAAACAGGGAATATAATGATAACCCATGATAAATTAGGTTAAATTGGTTAGAAGTTAAATCCATGATGCCAAAATGTGTAATTTGGGCTTATTTAAGTTTGGGCCAACCAAAACTAAAAAATTAGTACTAACCAATTAGCTAGCTAGCTTACCACCCTTATATGCCCTTTGTGATTTTGTTTTTAGTCCATTTGAGATTGTTAATAATGTCAAATACTTTCTTAAATATTTTCTTTCCTGATTTACTCTTCTATCACTAGTAACACTAATAGTCTATATTAAACTTAAACTCTATCTTGAATCTATTTATACCACGTGAATTACTACCTTTTCAAGAAGCGAAATATAGTTTTTTTTTTTTTTAACCTCTATTGTTATATTGTCCTTAATTTGTATGTAAAAAACTTAAACGACAGATATAAAAAAAGTAGAGGGAGTAATTTTTTATTTTTTATTTTTTTGCACATGTATTAAGGCTCCATTTGAAAACTCATATTCAATGCAATTAAATTTTCCTTTGAGATCTTTTCAAAAGAAAATGATGTTGGTTAAGGAAGACTACTTTTAGGTGGTGTTTGGTTAAGGCATTTATTTCTTGTTCCAACAAAACAAGGAATTGTGTGCAACGGCAACTCCATGACATGTATGCATGATATCAATTCAAATTGAGCCTCTCTATTTAATATGGCATGGTCTTATTCTTGTTCTCTCTTTTGAATTGTGGCTTATGAGACTATAGCTAGAAAATTTTCTAGGCCCCCACTTTTAATTTGCATTATAGCAAAGTGTGTGGAGGACACAATTTATTGCTCTTAACTTTTCCTCTCTTTCATTACTTAAATATTTAGCTGACTGAAATTAGTTGAAGTTTTAATTTAACGCTATGTGAACCAATTAAGAGTGTTCATAGCTAAGTTTAAAATCAAAACTACACTCAGTTTGAAATCGATTTGAATAAAATCTTATGAAATTATTTTGTTTACAAACTAGAATTTATTGGAATTCAAATCAGAGTAAAATCCCAGGTTGAACTAACCAAGAGGTCGGCTTCAGTTCCAAAATCAATTTAAACCTATCTAATTCAATTGAAACCAGTTGATTTTATATTGGTTATGATCGTTCCTATATTAACTCGTTTTAGTAAGTCATAATAGAATATAATACAATGTAATTAAATACATTTACAGTGTAAATATATTTATAGTATTCTACTAAATATGTATTTAATTATATTACATTACATTTCAATACGGCTTACTAAATTTAACACTACTTTCTTCTCAATTCCTATGAAATTAACTTTATTTCGTTGGTTGGAATTACAGTTTCAAAGCTGAAAATGTTCAACATGAGAGGAGCCCATCAGTTCATTTTTTTCCCCAATTGGAGGAGCTACATAATAAATTACCTATCCCCACCCTATTTAACTATATTTGACTTAGCCTTGCTAGATATTTCAAGCCTTTACCATTAAGATCCCCCTTTTTTTTTTTTTTTTTTTTTTTATCTAATCAGGAGGTGTTATTCTCTCAGGTCGTATAATGTTTTTACTCTCTCAACAAAGAAATCGAACTTATATTTTCAGCCTTACAGAGATCACTTACCACCCCGATCAATACATCGTTGATTTTTAAAACATGTTTTGATTACAAAGTGTTGATTATTAAAAAATATTTTGATTACAAAGTGCAGGTAGAAAAATATAAGTCCAATTATCTGAATTTAACAATTATATATGTTTTTGTTTTGTGTTTTGAAAAAAGAGATTCTAATATTGATAAGACTTATATGTTCACCATCAAAGTATTAGCCTTTAAAAATTATAAATGGTCATAGATTTGAATGATCTTGTACATATCCATAACTAAATTAGGATTGAAATCCTCTACTTAGGGATGGGAGGGTGGGTATGTTTGGCATCCGTCTGTTTATATAGAATTGAATAGTTATAAATAGATTGAAAACGAGTGAAGATAATAAAACTTTAGGTGGTGAGTATGAATCTAAGTATTTGACATTTATTACTCGTTATCCGCTTTATTGAATAGATTTAGTCATGGAGTATCTACCGGTATCCTCCCCATTATTATATAAAAAAAAAACTTTAAACCGATTTAGATTCAAATAATTTAAATTTATGGATGTCCAACGCGTATAAGTGATACTTTAAAGCATTACAGCAGTAGGCAAGCATTTATTTGGAGGTTCAATGACTTTACTTGGATTATACTTTAAACCATTATAGCCATAGACATGCATTTATTTGGAGGTTCAATGACTTTACTTGGATTATACTTTAAACCATTATAGCCATAGACATGCATTTATTTGGAGGTTCAATGACTTTACTTGGAATGAAAACCAAAGATTGAATATAACTTCAATCTCAAATATGTTAATAAGGTATGGTCTGATTGGTGTTGGTGTTCCTATCTCTCGTAGAAAATATAGAGAGTAAGATGTCTCTAGTTTGAGTCTTCAAAATATATCGAGTTTGAATTTTCTTTACCACAAAAATATATGAAGTAAAATGTCTCTAATTTGAGTCTTCAAAATATATCGAGTTTAAATTTTCTTCATCACTAAAGGTTATTACCAATTAAGTGAGTGTTATTCAAAGGAAGAGTAGCCTCTACTGTATAACCTACAATGTTATTCCGACCCATTGAACCTCCCATGTATAAAAAAGAACTTCAATCTCAAAAATTAATGAATCATATTATAGGTTTTAATTTTACATAGATTTCTTCACAATTGTTATCTTCAAATATAATCTTATGCACTTAACGGGACGATTTCCAATTGCTACAGTGGAAATTGAAATAATAGAATAGTACAATTATAACCATTAAATTGAATGGTCCATGCTCTTGTTATGTGAGCCCAAAGCAAAAGAAAAGGCAAATATAAATAAATTTTGGCAGGATGCAAAAATAGAGACGAAAAGGAAAAGTTGGTGTGTTTAAGTTATTGAAAGAAAGTGTTTAAATTAATTACTGGAAATTGTTTTTAATTATTCACCAATAATTCTATTTTCAAGTACCTGTATTGTCATACAAAGTAAGTTCGAAGTTGAAACCATACAATTCCTTTACCTTTAAATATTTGCAATGCAATAGTCATTATTTGAGAAGTTCATATTGGAGCATTTAATAAAAATTATTATATAATATTGACAAAAAATATTATTAGTAATAAGTTGCTCTAGTAATAAGTTGCTCGTTTAAAATAAAATCAAAAGGCACTCCTCATAGGAGAAGAGTCAAATTTCACATCACTGGAAAAAAACTGCAATCAAAAATTGATGGAAAAAAAAAAAAAAAAAAAAAAACACACAGACATTACAAACGGAAAAAAAAAAAAAAAAAAACACACAGACATACAAACATGCCCACGACATATCAACATAAATTCACCGCTTAAAAAAGCAATAAACCTTTAATTGTTAACGGAGTGAAAAAAATAAACCTTTAATTGTTAACGGAGTGAAAAAAAATATCTCTTATTATTAAAGGACCTTGAAGTGAAAAAACAAGAACCCATATAATATTCTTTTTGCACCTTGTTACTATTTCTTCACATATGTGTCTTTATCATGTAGGCTTCTGCCCTTTCAAGAACAAGTATATCAGTATGATCAATGATGAGTATTCCTTCATAGAAATGAATTTGTGGATAGTAAAATGAGAATTAAAACGTATGCCCAAAGAGCAAACCAGAAAGGACATGCCTAAAATCATATCAATTGAAAAGCAGTAAAAGAGATTATTTTTATTTCTAAAATCTGCAAATTTTAGCTTTCCTAATTTTCAAAAGAAGGCAAACCCCAATAACCTGGATTGAATTCCAACAGCGAGCTTAAAACCTGATCTGCATTTCCATGATAAGAGCTATCCAACCTTGGATCTGGAACCATTACTACATTCCTGCATGGTGTATGCAACAATTAGTGCCAGAGGGACTATTCTGGTGTCGAATAAAATTTTCAGTATATCAGACGCCACTCAACTGAAATAAAAACATATTTGATTACGTTGCATTATGCCATATACCAAATATAACCTAAATGAATAGACATTCAACAAAGTGACTAAAATTATAACTATACAATGAGTGCAAATGCATTAGATAAGACATTTAAATCCAGGATTTGTATTCTAATAAGCTAAAGTGTGGTACCATGTCTAGACCCAAAATGAGTTAACGCAAATTCGTTTAGAAAGAATAATCAATCATCATTTTTGTTAAGGTTTTAAAAAGTCGAAGCGTACGCTTTTTGGTTTGATTTTGCTTCATTAAAGACTGCAATAAAGAAATAGAATTATATCAGGTGTTGCATCGGGAAAAAGCAGCTCGACTGGCCTTCTTCAGTAAGAGAGAAGACCAATTAGAAGAGAAAAACGCTATAAAATAATTAACAAAAGGCCTCAGGAAACTTCCAAGGCATCCAAACCAAAAGCTCTATACTGATTCAATATCTTCAATTCATTGAGATGTCGAAAGAAAATTGCTTTTGCTATTCATTGAAATCCATGTTTGTAAGTTTTATTCCATTTCGATTAATTCCACTTGCGATGGCAACAAAAGTTGGCTGTCCCATTTATTTTGGAAGGGAGAGGGAATTAAAAATCCCAAACACAAATATGGCAAGTAGCCAAGTGTATATATGCCTCAGGATTGTGAAAAACAATATGCATAAACAAGTACATTAAATAGGTTACTAAGGGTGTGCCTGGCAAAGTTCAGGCAGCACAACATTAGATATTTTCATCACATTTATCCCTCATAAAATAGAGTTCTGATGGAAGTAAATGAAGGGAAAAATGTTTAATTTACCCCTGAAATTTCTTTTGAAGTCCAATAACTTGTGTCCAATTTAATCCAAAATTAACTTTTACATCAATTTTGGGAAAATTTTCAAATAGGTCGCCACAAAACATATGTTTGTCAGTCCAAAAACCAGACATGCATCCTTGTCAGTCATATGCCTGTCAGCCAAGTTCCCACTTCCTCCATCAATAGGAACTCAATGAAGGTATTATATTTGTTTTTCATTTATTAAAGCATAAGATTTGATAGTGCTGTACACAAAATCATGAGGGCTTAGTATTAAAGTTAGGAGTCAAGGTTAGAGAATGTAGTAAAGGGGGGGTTGTGATGTTGGTGGCAACATTGGCTACACTAATAATGGTTTGGTGGCAGTGAACTGTGAACTGATGATTGGGAGGAGAGACAAATGTTTGAGAAGAAAGGGAGGACGACAGGATGAGCTCTTGTATTCTGTTTCTATTTTCATTTTTTATTTCAAAACATTTTTTATTATTTAGGAATATTTTTAAAATATAAAAACAATATTTCATTATTTTTGTCAAACAATGGACAAAGTTGATCATTAATCATAATTCCTATCCTAAGTTGATCCAAAAATCAATTTTAAACTTAATTACACATCAAAGGAAAGTTCAAGATACAAATTGAGTATTTATCATAAATGAAAATGAGTTTTAGAACACATTTTTGAAACTTAACCAATACATAAAACATAAATATGTTATAACCATATATCAATTATTTAATACAGACACATATATAGAAAGAAATATTTAATTTAAAATGAGTGAGGTCTAATGAGCTTATATTTCTTATTCTGGTTTGGTTTGTTACCTATATAATCGGAACAGAAAATTTTAGTTTGAAATATTATCTTGCGACACCATCCCATTGAGGTTCCCAAAACTCGATTTTACAGTCCCACTCCCACTGGTAATATAACATGATGCAGAAAGCATATGTTGTACAAGTCGCATAACACGACCCACCAAATCCCGTTACTTTCGTAGCACATATTTTATATTTGCTACAATGTGGATAAATTCAACCATGATCATATTCTTTTATCACATTTGATAAAAAAAATAGATTTAAATGGATCCTACCATTAAAGAAACTATGGCATTTGTAGGAAAGGAAGAAAACCATTTACTATGATAGAAAATTTGCAATTGACACACCATATATGTGGGAAGAATACTGGACAATACTTACATTCCAGCATTCTTAGCTGCAAGAACACCTGAGGGTGCATCTTCAAAAACAAGAATCTTCTGTGGATCCAATGGGCCACCCTATCATTCACAAATGCCAAAACTGTTATTTTGCTAATTCTAGATGTCAAAATTAATAAAGCTAACTGAGGGGGAAAAACCATAAACTGAATCAATCAAATATCCCAGCAGATTTTACTACCACCAGTTATGATAATAGAAAAACCTCATCAAACTTACCTGAAATCTCCTGGCTGCTGCAAGGAATACATCTGGTGATGGCTTGCCTTGTTTAACTTCTGGATCATCCCCAAGAACAATATGATGCATCAAGGAGAAAAGCTCACCGTGTCTTTGTGTTTTCAATTCAAAATGCCGTCTGTGAGAACTGAAATATATACCCATTAAATAGAATTCACAAACTTGGAAGAACAAGTGAGATAAATCTGATCCAGAATCTATTCCGGACAAAATAAACATATAACTTGTAAGAAATGGGAACAGATAAAACATACCCTGTTGCCACAGCAATTGGTATTCCTTTTGCATGGAGATGCTTGATCAAACCGCTAGCTCCTACAATAAATGAAGAGCTAGCTCCTACAATAAATGAAGAATTAAATATGTGAGAATAATCGATCTTAGTCTCATAACAAGCATGTAATCGCTCTATGCCTCAGTATTTGTACTTATTTCAAACTACATCTTCTTATAAACAGGATTTAAAACCAGCATAGAACAATAGCATACAGGTCAACAGAACTTCAGATTATTTATGTTTCTTGTTCTTTTTGCGATTTCCATCAAGTGACTTGTGCTTTCCTTCTTTCTATGCTTCCTCTTTGGATGGTTGCAAGACAAAGAAAACCAAAATTACAAGCCAGAAACCAAAGCGAGCTGACAAAGAAAACCAAAATTACAAGCCAGAAACCAAAGCGAGCTCCTATATTAGTACTCCTTTTTTATCCTCTTTCATAAAAATAGGAGACAAGTTAGATCTGTCTAAACATCATTTGGGAATCTTCTTAGGGCCAGCCTGTTTGGCACTGCTGCTTGAGTTGCTATCAAGAAAAGCACCATGTTAATATGTTAAAAGGTCATTAAAAATGTTTTTAAGGTGAACTTCACATGTTTAAAGGATATTAAAAAATATCTAAAAGGTGTTTTAGGAAAAGCAGCTTCAACCTCTATATCAAATAGACTACTGATGTACAAAACTTGTCTACATTTAGAGCCTGCAGCTTAAAACAGTAAGTCACTTCACCCATATCAACAGAGCATTTCAAATAACAACAGGCAAGGCCAACTTTTCTATAATTGCCAACATTAATTGAAAAAACAAACATTGCTAATACACTAAAAATCCGTAACTTTCCTCATTTCCTTTTTTTTTAAAAAAAAAAATCTATAACAGCCTTCAATGTTATGGTTTCAATATTGTTCCCATCCTCCAAATATGCGCCTAGTCCATTTTAATGGATATCAAAAGCTAATTAATGGAGCAGAAAGAGAAAGAAGATTGGAGGGGGGAAAATGAGAGGATATTGGTGTAATTACACAAGAGACTCATTAAATCATTATATTATTTTAATAATCACTTTCCTTATTCTATATGATTAAGATCATACTGCTTTCATGTGGATTTGAGTCAAGTCACTTCAAGTTTGGGACAGTTTTATTCACCCATCTGGTTGAATTGCAGGGAAACACCACCCACCCACCCCCCCGCCCCCCCAACCAACAAAAAAAAATGACAAGAAAAAAATAAAAAGCCTCAATTTATCAAAGTTGCAGTCATGCTCAAGAGATGAAGACTGAAAAGTATACTAAATCAATGTATAATTATTGCTACAAATAATACCTGGCATCAGATCACTTGTTGGAAACATGTTCTGCAGCATCTCCTCTCTTTCTACAAGAAAGTCCTCAGCCGAAAGAGCAAGGAAAGTTCCTGCAGCCGAAAGAGAATCACTAATCCCAGTCTCCTCAACTAAAAACCTTAGCCAGCTATCTATTGCTTCTTCCCATCTTTTGCCTTTAGCTTCTATTGCTTTCTTCCCCATCATTTTTGCCTTTAGAGACCAATCAAAAGTTTTATTGTATCTGGCAAGTATGATTTCCTGGACCTCAGTATAGAATTTCTCTGTGTCTGATATATGGAGTGGAAAGCTCATCAGATATATAGTTCATTTCTTAATGAACAGATTCAGGGAATAAATCTGCATGATTAATACATAGATTAGGACTGGAAGACTAGAATTTGGGATATCTGGGATACAAAAATTGGGTCCAGATTTATTTGTTTGGAGTAAGAAATTAAAATACGGAGCAAAATAAATAGTAGCCTCATGTTCACAGGTCCAAGGAATTATTTGTTGGTAGAGAGCCAAATGCTGAACCCACATCAAAATAAATGCCACAAATTGACATAATCCAACAAACATTACTTCCTCTATGATCTATCTGCAAGAAAAATTAATCTAACTGGACAAACAGATACTAAGTGGGATAAGATAAGGCATTAGAATAACCCATATGCTAGACTCGCATTACAGAAAAGCATAAGACTGTTTTTTTTATTATTATTGTTAATGCCATGCTAAAGCACTGCTAAAATACAGTGAAAACTGATGTGCGACATACTGCCATACTGTGAATAGTAAATCCAAGAAAACATCAAGCTAATCCTTTTGATTCTTCCACACCATTTGTTTACAGATAAGTGTGCTATGTTCCACAGCTTTTGAACAGAACCAAAAGGCCACAAAAAACACTTCAGTCCTCCCTTTTCAAAGCCCCCTAAAATTAGAAACTGGTAAAAATCCACTAGAAAGGGATACAAAATACTGCATTTTTTTTTTCAAAACAAGTCATTTTGTACTGCACAAGGACCAACCAAGTCACTTCAATTATTTAAAATACAACGAAATAATTCACATACTAGCCAAAACATGCCTCACAATTCAAAAACTTCTATTCTTAATTCTTGCTAAATTTACCAAATTATCCTTCTCTCAGAAAGTTATTAGTTTAAAGCAAGTCTTCCCCTCCTTAAATCCATCAATTCTCTTCGACTTAATTAAACACGCATAGAGCAGTAGCAAACTGCCCACTAGGTAAATGGTGAACCTCAGAATTCCATGGCTAGTGTGTTATTTGTCATAGATCTTGGAGAAGGAAACTAGCAACCACCATTAAATCTAAAATTTCATTCTCACAGTCGGCAACTTAAAATCTCACAACATTATTTGCATTTTTTGCCAAACAATTCAATGGTGTTAGCTAATGCATTAACATCCCAAAAAAAAAAAAAAAATTAAAACCAAAAAAAAAAAAAAAAATTAAAGAAAAATTAAGAAAAAAAAAAAAAAAAGTCAAAGGATCTAGTTGCAAGTTAACATGCAATCTTATTCACCATAAAGAATCCATTCTTGATAAAAAATTAAAAAAAAAAAAAAAAAGTCAAAGGATCTAGTTGCAAGTTAACATGCCAATCTTATTCACCATAAGAATCCATTTTGAATGATTTAAGGCTCTGTTTGCTAAGTGCAGAATGGAATCTACTGGATTTCCAGTTACAACTAGAAATGCATTTTGATTCCATTCTACTAGGCTTATAAAGATTCTTTAACATCATTAAAATGTCAATTGCCAATTCTTCGTATAACAAAGGAACTAGAGCTATGTGAATATATAGAGCAGTAAACTAACCAATCAATCTCAGAAATCTCATTTTAGTAAGATTTAGTGCAAAACAAACAAACAAGTACATACATTAACTATAAAACATATATCAACCCGTCAATCAACAAAGAGAAAAACCGACAACGAAAAAATGTTTGACGAAATTACCGAGTAAGAGACCATCCATGTCGAAGATGACGTGAGTGATGGGAGCTTTCACTGGAAGTGTACCGGAGGAATTGGCCATTGCAGAACAGTACTTGAGATTATGGAGGTCCCTTCCCAGTGTACGGGTTAAATTGTTGAAGGATCTAGGTCGAAAGGCAGGGCAAAGGCAAAGCTCGAATGATACTCTGATGCCGAGCATTCAGAGTAATAGAATTATAGTCCTATTTGCCAGATTTTCGCATTGAGAAGGAATAATGTTATTATCTCGGCATATATCCAAATTGACAAAATTATCCTTTTTGACTTAGGAAAAATTATTATTTCGTCCTTGACCAAATTTTTTAAGTAGTTCACACGATTTGATCGAATATCCGGTACATCTGAGGTTTGATTCCGTTCGTTTTAATAGTCCATCCTTTTAATTTTAAGGCCGTTAAATTGGGATAAAAAGATTAAAATGCCCTCAAACACTCTTCTTTTTATCATCACAATACACTCTATTTTCATCCTAACTATTTGTAGGTATGACTACGGTTTTAAAATCGCCGATTTCAATTTCAAAATCGTCAGTTTTGATTATAAAAAAGTGAAATTGAAATCAAACCGTTTTTAGACGGTTTTGAAACCATCAGTTTGGTTTTTCCCAATTTTAAATTAAAATTAAATAATATTCCATCCGTTCCATTTTTTTAGGTTTGTTATTCATTTTTTAAATGTTCCAAAATATTTGTAAAATTTTTAAATTTAGATATGGAAACAATTATTTTCTCCATAATAACTTTTAAGGTCTTTCATTAAATAAGGGACTTTTATTAATATCTTCAATAAATTAAGAGTAAAAAAAGATAAAATAACTTTTGTTTACTTAATTTTTAATGTGCGTATTTTATCAGATGTGCAAACAAAGTGGGACGGAGGATATTTTAAACTTCTTAAATATTTTTTAAAATTTTTATCTTGAATAAATAATAATAATAATAATAAATATTGCTATTGAAAAAAACCGAATCAATGTAATAAAAATTTTTAAAAAAATTACTTTAAAAAATGTAAAAAAAACCAAAAAAGTAAGTTAATTATTTTAAGAATATATTTTTCACGATTTCAAAGCGAAAACCATCGGTTTTAATTTGAAAACATGAAGAATCGGAATTGAACATTAAGTTCACGGTTTCAATTACAGTTCTAGAATTAAAATCGTTAACCATGGTATTATGTTGGTTTTGACCCGTTCGATTTCTGTTCTACTCTAATTTGAAACTGAACTATGGTCATTCCTAAATTTGGTATTTAAAGTACGTGGCGCCCTATAATCACGGGAACCTATCATGCCCATGTAGTTACACAGTTCAATAATAAATTTGCCCCTTGCCTCGTGAGCAGAGAAAGCGTGAAATACAAATGCAGTTGGGAGTGTTGAGGGCCTTTGAAGTTGCCTACTTGGAGTTCCAATGACTATAATAATAACTTCCTTTATAGCAGTTGGACCCTAATTTTGTCTCTTCCTCTCAGTCATGTTCTTCTCACGATTCACAACCAAGTGTTGGGTGAAGGTGTAGTTCAATTTAAGTCCAAAATTAACAACATCGCAACCTTCTAAGCTTTTCAATTTTGCAAGTAATTACATCTTTCATGTTGCTTTTGTGATAACTAAGCCTTTCGTAGCAAATTAGGGTTATGTTCATAGATATTCGACTAGGTTTTGATATTCCAATGTGCCGTTATGAAGAAACTTTAATCTTAAAACATTCATATACAGAGACTAATCCTGAGAGGAAGCCTTTTGGATGTAGGAAACATGGGGTAAAGTTTGAGGGTTTCTGTAATGCTATTTTTATTTTTATTTTTTTGTAACTGATGAAGGATGGTAGATTGTTCTTGTAGAATAGTTGGAGCTCGTAATTATTTTCGGTGGCATGATGCACCGCTGCCTGAGCATATTCAACACATAATCATTGGATTAGTGAGGAAGATTAAATGAATGGATGAAGAAAAGAACAAAAAAAAAAAAAAAAAAAAAAAAAAAAAAAATAAAATGAATGGATTAAGAAAAAAAAAAAAAAAAAAAAAAAAAAAAAAAAAAAAAAAGAAAGGAAGGCCATTGCTGTAGAATTGTATATGCAGTTGTCTGTGTTGTGCTTGAGGTAGCTTTTAGAGAATTGTTTATTCCTTTGGCCCCCAAACAGGGCATTGAATGCATGAATTGGGGGGTTTTTGAAGCAGGGTCATCGTCAAGGGTTCCTTAAGCGTAGGCTTGGTAGTTTGCCTCTTATAGCAGTTGCTCCGACGTTTTTCACTTTTTCTTTCAATTCACTTTTACTCTTTATTTAGCTTTTAATTTCTCGGTCGCTTTTTAATCAACTCATATCTATTATAAGAAAATGGATATATTTTTTATTTGTTTTTATTGTTATTACTATCGCTTTATCTCATATTTAGAGTTTTTTTTTTTTCCTTCTATATAAGGGTTTGGTCACTTCCATACTAGGGTTTGGTCGCTTCTAAATAAAATATAATATTTGATTGGAGACTTTAACAATCTTTTTGGAAAAGAAGAGGAATGAAAATAATGAAAGAACCAAAATAATAATGAATTGTTAATTTTTTTTCCATTGTTATTTTCCACCATTGTGTTTGGATAATGAAGAAAAGAAAATAAATTTATTTTTCTTTATTTAGAAAATGCAAAATTTTAGATTAAAAAATTGTTAATAATGATATCTTATCATTTTAACATCATTTATCCTTTTAGAGGACTTTGATAATCATATAACTTCAATATCTTCAATATTTAGTTAAAAATAGCTTGGGTGTTTGGATAATTATGTAAAAATTGGAGAAACTTCAATATTGCATCATTATTTTCTCTCCTCCAAATGGAGAGATCCTATCTATTGAGATAGGGAGGAATTTTTACTCATTTAAAATTAACGATAAAAGTATTTTTCTTCCTTTTAATTAATACACTTTATAAATAAAAAATAAAAGGACTACTATTTCAAAAAGAGTGATAAAAATCAAAATAATTAAAAAATAGTATTTTTACTCGTTAAACTAAAAATACATTTAAAGGTAACTAAAAATTTTTCAATATTGAATTTTATATTTAACATGCAACTACCTTTATTCCAATTGTTTCAAGATTTTTTCTTTATTAAAAAAGGCTTCAAAATAACATAAATAAATATTAATATGTAACTTAAAAATCAATAGACAAACAATAATAATGGTAATGGAAGATCCTCCTCAAGTTTTTAGATAGATATATATGAGTTTGGATTCAAAAATTTCAAAGTTCTATATATTTATTTGAAAAATTAAAATATCAAAGGTCTTAAATTTGATAAAATTTAAAAAAATAGAATAAAAAGAGAGTTCTTAAATTTTTTCATCATTTCATCTTTAATATAGAAAATTTGAAAATGAAAAAGATAGCAAATATGCCCAAATAGGCATGTTTAAATTATTTCAAACTTTTATAGCGTATTTTAATAAGATTTCATTAGATTAAAAAAGAAAAAACTTTTTATATGATATTAGTCAAATGCAATAATGTGTAAATAGTCCAAATAAGTATACATCATCATCTAAAAAAAAAAAAAATCAAAGAGAAAGAATAAAAAAAAATCAAAAGAGAAAGATATATTTAAAAATTTGTTATTTTAATTTCATATGTATTTAACTATAGAGTTGATAGTGAAGTGTTACCAATATTTTTAAAATTCAGAAATCATAATTAATTTAAAATCTCAAATTTCATGTTTCATACTTGATTAAGGTTTTCGATTTACTCGTTAGAAGTAATTCTATCGAGGAACCTAATCAATAAAATAAAAATTATCGACATATGATGTAAGATCAAATAGGGGAAATACATAAATACATACACATATTTTCTCCAATTAAAATGCATAAAAAATATAAATAAAAGGGTATTCAAAAGGATAAATGAAATCTATTTTCTCCAATTAAACAACAATAAAAATACAACGAAAATAATATTTAAACGTATAAATGGTTTCTCCAATTAAAATGCATAAAAAATCTAAACAATGAATATATTAGAAATTTTAAAATAATATAATTTTATTATATAAAATCTCATTATTTCTCTATTCTCATATTTATATATAGTATAGAAGGTATCATTTTATAAAAAGTTAACCCATATAACTTTTAGCATTTCATGAAAAGCTACTAAAATAACTAACAGTTACCAAAACATCTAATTTTACCAAACAGATCCAAGAGTAGTTAAATTATTCCCTTTCTTTATTTGGTTGAGAAAAAAAAAACCATAACGTTTATAATTAATAAATTCTATCATTGCTTAATTTTATATAATTTTTTATTAATAATGAATTTAAATCATTTAATTTTTATTCCCACTATTTTTAGATCCATAAATTTTGTTTTCTAACTAATCGACATATTTGAGATTCCATGAATTTGTAATTCACAAAATTTTGCTAAAAAAATTCATTTCATGTTTCATCAATCCAAAACAAAATAGTAGCTAGATTAATAATCATTCCATCCATCTTTTGGAGTGATAAGCAACCTCAATTTCTGTAAAGGTGAGAATATAAGTTTGCTTTTCGGAAAGCGGTTTTTGCTGGAAAGCCAAAAAATTTTATGTTCTATGGACCGAAGGAAATTATAGGAAATATATATACCTCTTGATTATACAAAAAAAAAAAAAAAAAAAAATCCTATCCCATAAATACATGCTTATTTTTCTTTTTTATTTTTTGAAATCATATATCACTTCTTTCTAAAAGTACAATTTTAAAAGTACAATTTTATACTATGAACCATGTTAGGATGGATGACTTAATGCTCTTAAGTGAGATCAAAGGTTTGATTCAAGAGTTTGATAAATGCACACTTAAAATGCTTTATCCTCTAGGTAGCCGACCTTATTCTTAATAATCTGACTTGACGCGAGCAAAAACTTATGTTGAATGACTAAGATACATATCTAGTTAATACTTGTTTGGTTAATACTAAAAAAAGAATACAATTCTCCTAAAGGTCTGTTTGACAATATTAGTTGTTTTAGTAACTATTTTAATAGTTGTTAACTGTTTTAGTAGTTGTTAATTAGCTGGTAGATGTTAGCGGCTAGCTGTTGGCTGTTTAAATAGTGGTTGAAAGCGAAAGTGTTTGATAAACACATTATTTGATTGGCAATAAATTTAAAATGATAAAAAGGATATTGAAATATTTACCTAAAATTTTCAATTAAATT